AGTGCAGCGATGGCCGAGGGCTGGCCATCAAAGCCAGGCAGCTGGAGAGGAGCGAAACTTCGATAGCAAGCATGAGACATGAGCGTTGGTGATGGGGAGTTTCCTGGGGCTGGAGAGACAGTCCTTACCCTGGGAATATTTTTAATCCGAATTTGATGCATGTCTGGTAATCATAGCTGCTGGGAATGGGCAAAGGGGGATTCATGCGCTTTCCAGCCTGGGCTTTCCTGAAGTTTAACAGGAGCCAACAGCAGCCTCATCCTCCTGCCCTCTTCCAAAACTTCTTCACTTCTTCCTGCTCCTTGCAATGGCTTTGGGGAATTTGCAACGTGAGCAAAAGAAACCGCTTGCCTTCACCATTCCGAGTGCAAAAGGGGGAAATTCAGCTGAAGCCGCTTCCACCCCTCCCCTTCCAATAACTGGAGCTTCTCCCAGGCGGTGACTGTCACCCAGGAAAACAAGCCTGTGGAATCAGGACTGCGCCGTAGGCTGCGTGGGCACGCGGGCAGGATCGCCTAAGGCTCAGGGGTCCCGAGGCAGAGTCCCTGCTTAAATGTGAGTAACTTGGGCCAAGACAGAAGATGACACTTTGTGAAGCCCCATGTCCAGCCTGTGAGCGAAGTGCAAATAGCATCAGCAGCGTCCGTGTCCCTCCCTCCTGTCCGTGTGGCTGTCTGTGGGCGCAGCTGGGTGAGGACGGCGTGCGGCCCCCAGGCTGGGAGAGCCACCTTCCCCCTTCTCCCCATGCAGCTCAGCTTGCTGGTGCATCGGCTTTCCCGAAATAGCCGTCCTTGGGGCAGGCAAGGGGGTTATCTGATTCTGTGGCTGCTCTTCTCTGCCCTTGGGCTGCTCCGCAGCATGGAGCCCTCGGAGGAGCTTGAAGGAAGCAAAGAACGTTGTCTTAGCTGAGGAAAAACAGCCTGGGAAGGGGCACGCACAGCCCAGGAGCAGCGTGAGCAAGAGAGAATCTCCTTAAGGAACGACACGGAGAGCAGGCGAGTGGCGGCGCCCCACGGGCCACGCTCGATGGACTGCAGGTGCTTTTACTGGAGGCAAGGGTGGAGATGGCCGGTGGAGCATCTCCTTGCGTGGCTTGCTTGGCATGGAGGCACCGCGGGCGCGAGCCCCAGCTTGCTGGCACTGCCAGGGCGGTGGAGCAGAGCTTGCTGCCTCCCCAGGTGCCTTCAGCCGGTGCCGATGCCAGTCGCTCCTGGTGCACCCCTGCTCACGCCTGGTGGGCACCAGCTCCCTGCATCTTCCAGCAGCCCCAGGGGTCACGCTCGGAGCCAGGCCTGACGCTGACGTCTCTGTGCAGGCTGGCATGGAGCTACCGCCTGGGGAGAGCAGTGTCCCGGAGCTGCCGTCCCCGCAGGCACTGCAGGTCGAGCAGCAGGACAGATCCTGCCGGCTGGTCCTTGCTTCCCCAGCGGTGGTGGGGCTGTTCCCTGCTGGGGAATGGGATCGCGGTGGCTGACACCTCGTGAGCAGGTCCCTGTTGTCCCCAGGGTGCGCAGGACGGCTCTGCTCCGAGCGCGCTACCTGTGCGACAGAAACCCCTTGTCCCTGGAGAGGGACACGCACCCAACAAGCACGTGTGTGTGCCTGCGCACGCGTGCCCACGCTCGAGGGGCGGTGCAGACGCCCCCAGGTACGCACACACGCACGCTGGCGTGCCCTCGTGCCGACGGTCTCCCTAGACCCAGCCAGACCTCTGGCAACACCTCCTCTTCCCCACCCCCCCCGGTGCCGCTGCCCAGAGTGGCTGAGCCAGGGTGACCCGGTCCCCCTACCCCCGCCTGTGTGGCCTGGCTGTCCAGGGCTTGGGGTCAGCTGGGAAAAACGTGTGTCCCAAGCAAGCTGTCTTCAGCCTGGCGCTGGAGCCCTGCTTGTCCCAGGGCCTCTGGGGACACGGCTGTGCTCCTCTCTCCCTTCCCTTGGTCGCTTGGTGATGCCCACGCACACCCGGTGAGCCCGGGGCCCCCGCTGACCTCTCCTGTCTGCATCCAGAGAGCCAGCCCACGACGTCGGACGAGACTGTGGTGGCCGGTGGTACAGTGGTGCTCAAGTGCCAGGTGGAGGATCCCGATGACTCCTCGCTGCAGTGGTCCAACCCTGCCCAGCAGACCCTCTACTTCGGGGAGAAGCGAGGTGCGTGCGCAGGAACTGGGGGTGAGGAGGGTGCTGCTTCGGGGAGAGGAGCCAGCTCCAGTGCCGGAGCAATGGTGGGGCAGAGGGAAGGTGGACGAGGGCCAGTGGTGCCCCAGAGGGTGGTGTTCCCTCCTGCTCCCCACCTACAGTGATGCCCCTGGGCAAAATGTGAGCTAGTGGAGGGATGTGGTGGTACTGAGCCTGTTGGTCACCCTGTTGTCCCTTTCCCCCCAGCCCTGCGAGATAACAGGATCCAGCTGGAGAGGTCCACACCCAACGAGCTGACCATCAGCATCAGTGACGTGGTGCTGTCAGACGAGGGGGAATACACGTGCTCCATTTTCACCATGCCCGTGCGGACTGCGAAGGCCCTGGTCACCGTACTGGGTAAGCCACCAGTGGCAGTGCCCCCACCCCACTCCCGATCTCCTGCCTGCTGCTGCCCTGCCTGCAAGATGCTGTCCATACAGCTGGTCGCCTCTGCTACTCCTGTATCCCTGCCTGTTAGCTCATCCTTGCTGTGCTTATCGACATGTGCCTCCGTCTCTGGGTGGCAGCACACACGGCTAATAGGTTGTTGTGTTTCTTGTCTCCTCCTCTACCAGGAATTCCCCAGAAACCCCAAATCTTTGGCCACGAGCAGCCCATTGACGAGGAGAAGATAGCCAGGTTGACCTGCCGGTCCTCTGGCAGCAAGCCCGCGGCCCAGCTCCGGTGGAAGAAGGGCAACAAGGAGCTGAAGGGTGGGTGCCCAAGCAGTGGGGCTCTGCCCCGAGGGACTGGGGTGGCTGGGGAACATCATGGAGGCACCAGGGGTTGCAGATGTGCCCAGCGCTGCATGACACGGGCATCCTGTGTTACTGCCAACAAAGGGACAGGGTGACTCCTGCTCAACACACGCATCAGCCTCATGCCTCTCCTGGGGTGCTGTGTCCGTGAGCTCTGACGATCCCCTGTCCCCACAGACGAGGGCACTGAGGTGGTGGAGGACCCCAACGGAAAGACCTTCACTGTGAGCAGTCGGGTGGAGTTCCGTGTCACCAAGGAGGACAACGAAGCCGAGGTGACCTGCACTGTGGACCACGAATCCCTGCAGAACTCCGAGAGGTCGACCACGCAGAAGCTGCAGGTTCACTGTACGTGACGCATAGGGGAGATGGGACAGGGCCACATGGGGAAGGGGACAGGGCTGTGGAGGGATGGGAGAGATGGTGGAGGCCTCAGCGTCACAACAGTTCAGCAGACATCATACTCATGGCCCTACATTTACACGTACATACAGCCATGGTGCATACAGGCTCATCGGCCTGCACGCACGGCAGTGCTGTCACACGCAGGGGCACTGCACGGTGACACTTGCCCTGCGCATGCACACCCTTCCTGTGTCCCGCCTGTCCCTACCTTCCTGAGGCTTGTCTGTGCCATCCCCTGCCACCTGCCTGCACCATCTCCCACGTCCTGCCTGCCCCCGTTCCCCTTGTCTTGCGTGTCCCCTGTGATAAGAGTGGGGGACGTGGGAGCTGCACTGTGCACCCCCAGTGTGCCGACCCCCACCCCAGTACACCCCACCGCCTGCAGAGCAGGGCAGGGGCAGGGACCCGCGGGAAGGCGAGAAGCTCCAGCTGCAGTGTGACGGGCAGGGCAACCCCATGTAAGGCCCCCTGCTCAGCCCCACCAAACCCTGGCCAACTTGCCCTCCCCCTGCCACGCTCCCAAAACCACCGCTTAGCCCTCCCCAGAGCTCGGGCAGAGCGCCGCGGTGGCACTGTGCGGGCTCGGGCCAGGCGCTGGCCTTGCGTTGGTGCCAGGTAGGGCCGGGCACCCCCAGAGAGCAGACAGAGCCTCTGTCCTCTCCCTGGAGCAGCAGATCTACCCCAGCTCATCTCTAAATGGGGTATTTCCCTCCTGCTTAAATACTCCCACACTTCCATTCCCCCCTCCGCTGCCCAGCCAGGGGCTCTGCGCTGCCCCAGCCCCCCCGGGGTGCTGGGGGGGGGGGCAGTGCCTCACCACCATCCTGCTCCGCAGCCCCCAGGAGTTCCTGTGGGAGAAGGAGGGCAGCGATGCACCCCTGCAGCTCAGCTCCGACAGCGTCCTCATCTTCCCCTTCCTCAACAAGAGCGACAGCGGCACCTACGTCTGCACGGCCACCAGCTCCATGGGCAGCGTCGTGGCCAAGTACAACCTCGACGTCAGTGGTAAGCGGAGCCGCGCGGCGCCCGGCGTCCCACCCGGCTTCTCCCGGCAGCTGCTGGTGGGCACAGCC